AGTCAAAATTAATAATTTCTAAAGTCGAAAATATACTTATGCTTCAGTTCGAAAACATTATGTTTAGGTAAATATTTGGTAATAAATGTTAGCTAAACTTTCTTAATTTGCTTATTTAATATTTTATTTAAAAACATCCATTGATTTAAATAATCTCTATAAAATAATTAAGATTTGAATGTTTGTATTTTTACAGAAAATTTTCTGACGTCTCGTAAAAACATTGCATATTTCAGTTGATTTTGTATATATAATTTAATTATTCAATTATATTTTATTGTTTTGATTTATATATTATGTTATTCGTTATTCAACTGTTTTTCATCAATTTCATTACGTATTGATTTAGTTATATAATTTTGAAATTTATAGTACTTCAATTTAATGTACTTCACAATTTTATATTTTTTTATTTCTCTAGTAAAGTATATACGCGTGTATAATATTAACATCGATATTAGTAATTTCAAATAATTTATATTTAGCATTTAATACGAAACCAAAATAGATAAAATTAAAAATATCTTACAGATGAATTGAGAGTAAGATTTGGAAAAATTTATTCTAAACATGCAATAATGATATTTGTGCTCTGATTAAAATTGTTTGGTATTTGGATAGATTTATACCATTATATGTTGTACTTTATATTGAATCATAATTTTGGTTAATAACGCTTACTGGTAAATCTGTCAAATTATCACAATTATAAAAAGCAATTCGATTATGAAGTAGCTTTTACAGTAACTTGAATTTTGAATAGTTTTTTCAAATTAAACTTCAAGTTAGTTTAATATTTGTAATATTAGCTTCTTCTTATAGATTACTTTAAAATGATTTCAAATTTCATATACAATTACTTACATTTTGGTGTTTCGATTATGAATAATTAATATTCATGTGTTGCATAAAATATATGAATTTAAATTTTAATAACCTTATTTACTTAATGTATTGTATTTCTGAATAATAAATTGTTTATATTAGGAAATTAATGCATGAGAAAAAGTAGTAACGAAGTGCTCTATTAAAATACTGACATTTTTAATTGAAAGATACTTTAAACTTCGAATGAATCGATGTTAATTAGAATTCGAGAATTTATTTTAATTAGATATTTACAAATAAGTATTTTCCAAATATTTTTATAGAAAAGGCGTCTAAGTAGACCAAAATAAACTGTTCTTATACTCATTAAATAATAGAAAAAATATAATGTAAATTATTTATATTTACGTTAAATTTTTAAATAAAAAGAAGTAATACGTGAAATAAAACTTACAGCATTAATAAAACAGAAATATGTTTATTATTGGATACACGATGTGTTTATTATACGATACATTAAGTATTTAAAAAGTAATTGATTGAAAATTATTTTTTAAGTAAACTTGAATAAAGATTATAGTTTAAGAAAAAGTTTTATAGTTTTTTAACTACCAGGACATAATGATTTGCTTGTTATTAAATTATAATTTTAGCTGATTATAATTTTACTTTAGTGCTCTAACTTTATCGAATCGTTTTAGATGAATTTTATAATAAATGGGTAAACTTCAAATAATATTATTGGAGCCCGATTCAATTTTTTAATCGAAAACTGTATTTCTATTTTCAAAAATATAATTAAGAAAAAAATTATGATTAAAAAATTGCAAGCTATATTACAAAAAAATTTTTTAAAATACATAAATAATATACCTCTAAATGCAGTCAAAGTATACTTATTCGTATAAAATGTGGAATATATATCGAATTCGTCCTCGGCAGAGTTCATAAATTGGCTCTGAAGTCAGTAAGATATATCACATCATTTGAAATTATTGTATATTGATTTGCGATAGAATCGTTGGCATAATAACTTTTTGCTTTTATCGCTCAGCAATATAAATTCTAATCGCAATAAGCCAAATTTCTTCTCGATTTTAGCGTAGTAATGTAATCAAACTTGTAAAGTTTCTGATTAATAATAAACACGAGAAAATTTTTAATTTTAACTAAGATCGTCTTTATACATATATTGACTATCTCATTTGTTAGTAACTTAAAAGTAAAGTTAATAATTTACAAACGGTTAAAGCTGTTGAAAAAAAGAAGTCGTATATTCTGTTCCTTTTTCTCTCTCTGATTGATTTCGTGTAAATGACTCCACGATCTTAAATTCGCAGCTTCTTACGAATATTACGAAAAGAGGATTTAACTCGCACAAGCAAGCGGACGAAAAAGAATTCTTTTAAATTAGTCTATACCGTAGTCTAATACATATACTGCTGCACTTAACTAGAAACGCACCTACCTAGTCACAATTCATGCGCTATAAAAAACAAACGAAGAATGGTATAACTATGCATAAAGCGATTCCTACACAACTTGAAAAATTTATCTACAAATATACATAAATTTAGTATCTATCTATTTTTTAGTATTGTTGTCGAAGAAGACAATCTGAAAGAAGTAATTGACAATGATTGAAATTAAATTTAGATTTTGAAGTACCCTAAATAATAATTTCGGCTATTTTTATATTTGGCGATATCAAGATTTTTCAAATTTTGCAAATAATCATCGACAATGATAAAAATATTTATTGATTGTATTACTTCTTATAATAAATAATAGCTCTATTTACACATGTGCCGTTAAAATATTTTTTTTAAATATTACTAATTTTCATAGATACGCTCGTTATGATGATTAAGTAATACATACTACAAAACGCCTATAATTTTGCTATAAAAGTGATCGACATACTGACCAGTAGATCAGTGACGTATATAATCAAGGATTAAGGCGGAAAGGATGGGTAGGACGATATCAGGACACAGCTAGGGCGAAATGCATAATACAGCCAACTTGGTAAGCAAGCTGCAGCAAGAGCTGAATATCAAAAGTTTTATGAA